TCCTCTTAATTCTTCTTCTGTGTCCTAGTCCCTAAGAAAATCCATAGTAGTGATGGGAAGCAGCTGGAATCAGGATTGGAAGGAGCCAAGACTCTGAGAGAAGGGAAATCCTTCCTCCGTTGGGTGCAGCTGTAATTCTAAGAGAGTGGGTGGCCCCTGTTGTCCCTGTTTCTCTTTTCTCTCTTTGTTCTCTCACCACTTGGCTCTGGGTACAGATGTAGTTGTGGAAGGGCCTAGCAGAGCAGGGTAACCAAAGCCTAAGCTGTTTGGAGCCTGAGGGAAACAGAAGGCACTGGGGAGATCACTGAGGGAAGAACTTGAGAAAGCAAACACATACAGTTGTTTATTTATTCCTGGGTTCACCTCCAAGCTGTGCATGCATGGATGTGATCCTAGCTGATATATTTTGAGAAATGAACCAACAGATACACCACCTCCTAGGTCTCAGACTAGCCACTTGGTGGTGCATATGCAGAGAGGCACTAAATGAACTGAAAAAAGAGGCTTTGAAAAACTGAACTGACATTGGAACACAACCCACCCAAGACAGGTTGAACTTTTCAGCCTAAACCTAACCATTTTAATTATTTTTGAAAACATAACATCAACCTTCTCCATTTGGTGTTAACAAGACTCAGAGTCTTATAATATTCAAAATGTCCAGGATATAATCCAACATTATGGAACATATGAAAGAAAAGGAAAATATCAACTCCTGTGGAAAAGACTACCAACAGACTCCAGTTTCAAGATGAAATAAATGTTGGAATTATCTGACAAAGACGTTAAAGCAGCTACTATAAAAATTCTGAAGCAAGTAATCAAGAACACCCTCGAAACTGATGGAAAAATAGAAAGTCTCAGCAATGAAATAGAAGACATAAAGGAGAAGGAAATAGAAATTTGAAAAGAACATGATAACTGAGATTAAATACTCACTGAATGGGCTTAATATCAGAATGCACATGACAGAGATAGGAGCAACGAACTTGAAGACTGATCCATGGAAATTATCCAATTTGAACAACAAAGAAAAATATACTAAAAAAACATATACAGAGCCTAAAGGACAATAACCAAAGTTCTGGTATCTGTGCCACAAGCCCTGAAAGGAGAGGAGAAGAGTACAATGCTGAAAACATGTTTGAGGAAATATGACTGAAAATTTAAATATGTTGGAAGACATAAGCCTATAGACTCAAGAAGCTTGTGATGATCACTTAAGATTTGCTCTCTCAGCAACTTGCAAGTATGCAATACACTATTATTAACTATAGTCAACATGCTGTACATTAGGTCCCCAGCACCTGGCAGGGAAGGCCTGTGATGGGGGTGAGACCAGGGGTGTGCAGCTGCACAGTAGGAGGGACTGTCTGTAGATGAGTGCCATGGTACAGGCCAGTGACCGAAGAAGGGGCCTGATCCAGGACCACAAGCAGCTGCAGGGGCCCTGGGGGTCAGCAGGCCCTTCTTTGGCTTTGCAGTTTCTCTGGGGCATGTGTACTTTAGTGGAGGCCTGTCACAGGGAGAGGGGCCAGCCCCAAGCATGCATACGGCACTTCAGTGGGGATCAGGCATGGGGGGTCTAGACTGGCATCTTGCAATTGCACAGCTGCAGAAGCCTGGGTTGGCTACTAGTGCAGTTCCTGGGCTCCAGGTGGGCAGAGGGTAAGAAGTGGGGAGAGAGTCAGGTGGCTGGAGACAGTGAATGCAAATACTCATGTGGCAAAAGCCAGTGAAATCTGCAGGGTTCTGTGGCTGCCATGCTGGCCATTGGTTTCTTCAGTGGCAAATCTGCTGGATTTTCTTGTAGGGCAGGTCACTGTTTGCCACAATCACTGCCACTGTGTGGCTGCTACTACTCTTTTTTTTTTTTAGTGTGTATATTTTATTATTTTATTTTATTTTAATTTTTTTCCCTCTGGAGAATTTTACCAGACATTTATTCTTTTTTATTACATTCAATTAGCCAACATATAATACATCGTTAGTTTTTGATGTAGTGTTCAACAATTCGTTAGTTGCATATAACACCCAGTGCTCATCACCACACGTGCCCTCCTGAATACCCATCACCCGGTTACCCTATCCCCCCAAAAGGCTGGGGGGCCAGTGGCTCCCCCTGCTCTCCCTTCCCTGGTGAAGGGAACTCTATCTGGAGATTTCTCCTTGGCATGGAGCATTGCTGGCCAGGCGATGGAGTGATGCAGGCAAATGTAGCTGTACTTCCATCTCTTCCTATGCAATTAATTTCAGGTGTTTGTTCCCCTGCGTTGCTGAAGTTTCCTACATGGACTCCAGAGCTCTTCCAGAGCTATTTTTGTTCGTGGATAGCTGTATAATTATTGATCTTTGGAGGGGGACAGAGGCTGAGGTCTCATTTGTTGCCACTTGTTGGACATTGTTCTTTATGTATATATTTTGAGATGTCACATTCATTTTCTGGTTCAAAATCTTTCTATTTTCTATCATAATTTCATTTTGACTGGTGATTCCTCAGAATTGCTTTCCTTAATTTTTACTCATATGGAAAATTTTTCTATCCATTTTACTTTATTTCTAGTTTAATGCCACTGTGGTCTGTTTGATTTCAATTTCTTGACATTTGTTGAGACTTTTTGAAAAATGAAGGGGGGGAAATTGGAGGGGGAGACGAACCATGAGAGGCTATGAACTCCGGGAATCAAACTGAGGGTTTTAGAGGGGAGAGGGGTGGGGGATGGGTTAGCCCAGTGATGGGTATTAAGGAGGGCATGTATTGCATGGAGCACTGGGTGTTATACGCAAACAATGAATCATGGAACACTACATCAAAAACTAAGGATGTAATGTATGGTGATTAACATAACAAAATAAAATTTAAAAAATGTATATTCCACAGTAATTCTGAATCCATTTTTTAAAAAGATTTTATTTATTTATTTGACACGGAGAGAGAGATAGAGAGAGCACAAGTGGGGGGAGCGGCAGGCAGGCAGAGGGAGAGGGAGAAGCAGGCTCTCTGCTGAGCAAGGAGCCTGATGCGGGGCTCGATCCCAGGACCCTGGGATCATGACCTGAGCCGAAGGCAACTGCTTAACCGACTGAGCCACCCAGGCACCCCTCTGAATTCATTTTAATATGTTAGTCAAATCTTCTAGATCCTTACTGGGTTGGTTGTATTTTGTTTTTGTTTTGTCTTCCTAGTCTATCAGTTGCTGGAAATTATGTTAAAATTATCTGCTGGTCAGTTATGCTTCTGGCAATGGCAGGCCAGTTTACTTGCGACCAACCCTTGCAAGAAAGCAAAATGAGATCCCTTGGGGTCTCCCAGCCCCACATTTGGATACTGGTCACCTCCCAATTCTGCTTCCAGAGTGGGTTAACTCTGGGCTTTGAAGGCTCACTGTGTTCCTTAATGTACCTACTTGGTAAGAGTGTCCTATCTGCCTGGTGGCTCCAGAGTTCTTTTCAACTGATTCTTTATGCTAATTGCTTATCAGGAAACAGTTCATTGGTTTGTCCTAAGGCAATCACCCCCTGTTTATCCAGGAGAACACTATGGACCTGTCCTCCTTCGCCCATCTCAGTTATCACTCTTTCTGCGCAGCGTCCCTCCTCAACCCTATTCTCCACTAGACCCCCTATTTTAAGCACATCTCTGGCCCCTGACATATATGTATTTCAGGAAACTCAAGTACAGGGGCATTTAGAGAATGAGGTCTACATATCTATCAGTCATCAACCTACTGAGTGGACTTGAGTAGGATCAGTCTCCTGTCTATGCTGGTTTGTTTTCCTTTGTTAATTTTAGCAAATAATCCTTCTGCTCTGCAGGTTTTATGGTTTTAACAACAGACTCCAAAAGGAAAAGTTAGCAAATTATAATATCCTATGGTCACAGAGCTTAATACAAATTTATAATCCAATCTTGTCACAACTTCATTTGCTGGTGTTGGGGGCAGGAGGAGGCTAGGGTATCAACCTTTCCTTTCCTTCAAGTTCCCTTTTTTCTCCCCCCAGTCTATATTTAATCCTGTCATGGAGGAAAAATAGCTTTCATTCTGAGTTGCCCCAATTCTTCTCTATCCCTCAAGGTGGGACCAAGCATCTCTTCTTCCAGGAAACCTGATAACATGATGCACATAATGACCCCTCTTTATTTATACCTTAAGGTACTGACTGTATATTCCATTCATCCCTTCTTGCCATGCCCCATGCTGGTTTCTGCTTGTTTGGATAATAAGACTTAACCCTTCTTTGGGCTATATGCCAACAGATAGTCACACCTTCACTCATGAGGAGTGGTCCTTGCCACAAGCCTGAGCACAATGTAGGTTCTCTATAACCCTATAAATGTTGCCTATTCTTTCTAGGAGTATTTACATTTGAAAATATTCCTATAAATTCCAAGTGATTGAGTAAATAATTCTAACAAATAAGGCAATGTCTGAGAGGAGAGGTTGGAGAGGTCAATGGCATTTCCTTTCAATTCTAGACCATGGGTGCTGTCTCCTGTAAGGAAGATTGTACTTCCCTGGATTAGTTAAAAGGGTGGCTGCTTGTGGGAACCTACTAGAATTGCAGGCCTGAAATAAGGAAAGAAAGGCTGCACTGAGAAGATCTGGGAACCCAGAGGGATGGTGTTTTCGGTAGCCATAAGACCATCCCACACATAAACAGTTTCCCCCAGAGATGGTAGTCAATGAACAAAGAGAGTCCAGGAATCTTGACTAGGAGTTCCATCTTTGGAATGGTGAGAAGGCAGGGAATCCACTGGGAGGCAGGGGTTGGGGGCTTAGGGAAAAGGTGGAAGGAGGGAATGGTACTGGTACTATAGAAGAAGAGAGAGGTTCTGGGTTACTGTCATAGTTTATTCTTCAGGGAAATGAGGCTGATAATATAATGGCTCAAGGAAGAGGGTTAACAAGTAAGAGAGACATCGCCCGGGACCCCTCCTCCTCCCTCCCCTTGCCTCTCAGCTGGGACAAGATGATGATACCACTGGACATCATGTAGAATTAATTTATGCCTGTATCCCAACTCTCAGTGGTGGTTGTGGGATATAAAGTAGTTTCTGCCTCGGTGCTAGGTGAAGTGTTCTCAGTGAAAGTCTCTGGAAAAAATAAGGGGTAGGTATTCAATGGCCATACAGTCTGATGAAACACATTTCTTTGAGGGTAACAGATCCACCCAAACCCTGGGGGCAGGGATATTCCTGTGGTTTAGGAAATGCCCATACAAGGCTTCTCTCAGGATGTTTTAAGTCCAGTGAGCAGAGACATAAATGTCAGATCTCCTGAGGTTTGGATAAATCAGGCAGGCTTGCAGGTGGACAATGAGGGCTTGGGCTGAAGGAAGAGGTAGGGATCCCAGGTTGGAATTGGTACCGGGACAGGGGAGGCATAGTCTTCTGTCTGCTCCCTCACAGTTACAGGTTCCATAGTCTTTGAGAATCTAATGGTAAGAGAGGGGTGAATATTAGATCTTACCAATTTGTCTGATATTCAAGCAGATAGTTCCACAGACAGAAAAGCAGCATTCCAAGCCAAAAGCACAATCCCAAGAATATTTGCATGTTCTGTAGCATTCGAACCAGGTGGGATTCCTTGAACATTCTCTCAGTTTTGGGTACACTAAAACTGAGAAGGAACACATGAGTAGTGACTCCAAGAAGAAGAAGAAGAGTTTTTCTCACTATTATCAGCCCCTCTAAGGCCCCAGCTCCCACTCCATTGGTTTCTCTTCTTCTTCTGCCTGCTTATGGGATCTGGGTGGCCTTTTCCATTCCTAGAGTCAAAATCTAGCTCCCACTCCATAGCAAACCCAGCAACCAGGAAGCCACCTCCATGGAATTGAACATCACAGGACCTGAATCCTGAGACCCAGTTCTCAGAACAAAGAGGCCCAAGAGATCCTCTGGCCTCCTGCTCTCATTTTACAGGGTGGGAAGAACAGAGTCCCAGAGAAGAGGAGGAACTGTCTTGTACTTTTCCCTGTCTGGCTGAGACAGCCTTCCAAACCTAGCTGTTCTCCCAGAAACCTTTGCCAGCAGTTATGGACCCACTACGCTCAATTCTGCTGATTTTAATTTTCTTACCCTAGTGATTCCAAACTTCTCTTGGTCAAGCACCAATTTTATTTCTCCTCCCCATGCCCAATATTCTAAAATACTCAATTCCCTAAACAAAGGGTATATTTCAAGAAATAATTAGTACCCTTTTCCCAATTTGGTGCTCATCCTTGGAGCCCCTAGCTGGAGGACACGAACTCCTGGTGGCTCAAGCTAGGCACATTCCATGTGGGCCTTGAACCCTATGGAGTTTTCCACTTCTACGGGTCCTCTTCAACAAAAACACCATGTAGCCACCACAGTCCCCACCACAGACATAAAAACATTGTTTCTTGTAATATCAGGAGACCATCAAACTTGAGAACTGCACATTCAGCTTTCCTCAGGTATCCTGGCTTAAAAAAGGAACCAGTGCTTTCCCATATGCCAGTCCTGGTTCCTTGTCTTCTACCCCCTCTTCATTTTGAAGCTCAACCAGAATACCTACTGAAATCTGGACGCTTAGTTACAGGCTCAGGTTTTTCTCCTATACCTCCTGTCACTGGCATGATCACCAGGCAGTAGAGTGTCATCAGCTGGAGAACCAACCACTTCATGATGTTAACTCTGGATGTTTGAGTGTGAGCCTGGCAGGAGACCCAGGATTTTACTAGGTCCTGCAGGGGGTAGTGAAGGGCTTTGGGGTGTGGAGTTGGGAGAACACGTGACTGGTCTCTCACTGCCCATCTGGTTCTACCTCCTCTCCTCCGTGTACCACTCCTTGGTTGGGCATTTTTCTCTCCTGAGGTTCTTTCCTTCTCTTATGCTTTCTACTTCTCTCATTGCACAAATGAATTCATAATTTATCACTTCTTATTTTAGAAATTTGAAAAACACAGAAGTACAAAGAAAACTAATAAGATACGATCAGTTATCCATTACCTAAAGAGATAACAGTGTCATTCATTTTCATAGTTTTAGAACTGACTTCCCAATAGAAAATTCATACGTATTTATTGTGTATGTATTGTAGTATATTTTAAAAGCCATTTAAGAGTGTCCATAAATGTAAGTAAATTAAAATTTAAAAATCACCAGAGACTTTTAAAAACTGATTACAAAATTTGAAGAGGAACAACTTATTCTAAACCTGAATTTCCCCCAACATTGTCCGTGTTTAACAAGAATTAGCTCCTGAATGATACCAGCACATTTCATTTTTTATTAATTTTTTATTGTTATGTTAATCACCATACATTACATCATTAGTTTTAGATGTAGTGTTCCATGATTCATTGTTTGTGCATAACACCCAGTGCTCCATGCAGAACGTGCCCTCTTTAATACCCATCACCAGGCTAACCCATCCTCCCACCCCCTTCCCTTCCAGAACCCTCAGTTTGTTTTTCAGAGTCCATCGTCTCTCATGGTTGGTCTCCCCCTCCGATTTCCCCCCTTCATTCTTCCCCTCCTGCTATCTTCTTCTTTTTTTTTTTTCTTAACATATATTGCATTATTTGTTTCAGAGGTACAGATCTGAGATTCAATAGTCTTGCACAATTCACAGAGCTTACCAGAGCACATACCCTCCCCAGTGTCTATCACCCAGTCACCCCATCCCTCCCACCCCACCCCCCACTCCATTTCATTTTTAAAGCATATTCAATTTACAATTTTTGTAGATACACTAATTTTATATCATTCAATTCTTTTAAGGTCCTTTTCGGGAGTGACATCAGCAAGATGTCTGAATAGGCCCTCCTGCTTGAACTTGCCCCCACCGCCCCGGCCCCCACACAACAATTTGGCATCCACCCCACAGACCAAAGTACCTTGGAGGAGGCTGCGGATCCAGCACCATACGCCAAGGGACCCAGGAGGAGTCTGACCCATGGGTTGGGTCATTGGCATAGAGACCTCAATCTTGGCATGGCACCCTGATGCGGCCTGAGGACTGACTCTAACCCCCCTCAGTCACAGTCCAGGAGCCACTGGAGAACACTCATTTAGACAATCACCCACAGATGACAGAGCTTTGTGGAAGTCCAGGAGTGTAACAGAGAAGTTCCATCACACCGTGGGAGCAAAAAAAAATCCAAGTGTGGACGCACTGGAGAGGTTAAAAGCAACAGTTTGACTTTACCTGCATCACACCTATCCAGATTAAAAAAAAATTCTCTAAGGAACTGTGCATTCAAAAATGCCACAAACCCAGGCAAGAGAATGTATAGTCCCTGCCTCACACTTCAGTTTGCTCCATGCTCACTTTGTTTACACATATTGTGCATTATCGATATCATCTTCCCCACGTTACTAAGTGAAAATATCTTCTACAAAAATGAAGCCTTATGAATTTGGTTGGCATGAGCCAAGGGGCCTGAAAAATCCCACAATATTAGAAGTAAAATTGCTAGGTGTCCAGCATTTGAACAATGAACACACCCAAGTTTGACCACATAAAATGTGTTCATGATTCTTCTGTGCACAAGAAAATAAACTATGAGAGCTCTGTAGGCCCTAGAAAGCTGTAGTGAGTCACCAAGGCATGGCATAATATTTTGAACGCTAGAGAAATACGTACATAGATTGATAACCATGATCACTGTGGGAGGGAGTCAAGCACCGGGTTGATACAGCAAATCTTGTTGGATATCTTCAAATATCTCAAGAAGAAGGCAGTGGGCCTTGAGGTATTCTTCTGTGAAGGAGTTGAATTTCAGAGAGTCCCGAAGAGTTTCAAGAGATTTGAGAATGGTGAAAGACAGCTGAGCACTGGCTGTTATTCGCAACTAATGAATCGTTGAACACCACGTCAAAAACTACTGATGTATTATATGCTGGCTAACTGAACATAATAAAAAAAATAAAAAAATAAAAAATATATACACAAATGGGATCATACCCCGCAAAAAAAGACCGCTGAATTTACATACAGCAAATAAAGACAATGAATAAAAGCAAGTTTTGACTGCTTCTTTTTTTTTTTAAGATTTTATTTATTTATTTGACAGAGAGAGACACAGCGTGAGAGGGAACACAAGCAGGGGGAGTGGGAGAGGGAAAGCAGGCTTCCCGCAGGGCAGGGAGCCCGATGCAGGGCTCAATCCCAGAACCCTGGGATCATGACTTGAGCTGAAGGCAGACACTTAACGACTGAGCCACCCAGGCGCCCCTTGACTGCTTCTTAAACAGGCTTTCATAACAACCTCTTTTCAACCACATGCACATCTCCACCTTCAGACACCTGATGGCTCAGTTCTCAGACTTTCTGTGGTTCTTTGGTTAAATCAGCTAGCTTTGTAGTCTTCACCCAGCCTGCCCCCCAAACTGGCATGAATCGGGACATATCCTCCAGGCAGTCTGGTTTTCTCTTTTCTAATGAAAGAATTTGGCATCTTAGCCATCTTTTTCTAGCTTTCAATGTCTTAAAGACGCTTATTTACCCTTTCCTCTCCTGTTCTCTTTGACCTTGTGTGTTAATGTGGTTTTTTCTCTCTCACAACATTTTAGTCAGGTTTTAAGTGTAAGCAGAGGTAAAGGGGATAGAGGCCCCTGTAAAGATGCCCATGTGTTAGTCCCTGGAACCTGGGTGGTAATGCTGACCTGAGGAGGTAAAGGGGCTTCCTGACCTGAGGAGGTAAAGGGGCTTTGCGGATGTGATGAAGGGTAGGGACCTAGATGGGGAGCCAGGTGGGACCGGTGTAAGTTTCCTGGCTGCAGTGGGTTAGAGAGCAGCAGAAGAAGCTAAGATCTGAAGCGTGAGGACCCAGCTGACCCTTGCTGGCTCTGAGGATGGAGGAATGGAGCCCATGCCGAAGCATGTGAGTGGCCTCTAGAAGCTGAAAACGGCCCTCGGCCGACAGCGGCAAGGAAACGGAGACCTCAGTCTTACATCTTCAAGGCTCTGAATTCTGGCAACAATCTGAATGAACACACACATGGATCCTTCCTCCTAGAGACCAAACGCAAAAAGGAGCCCAGCCCTGCCGACACCTTGATTGTAAGGCATGAGACCTGTGTGGGACTTCTGACCTAGGGAACTGTAAGATAATGATTTGTGTGGCTTAAGCTCCTAAATTTGTGATGACTTGTTACAGCAGCAGTAGGAAACAAAAGATCATATTCAAATACCCTGTTTAACACCACAGCAAAAACTAATGATGTAATGTATGGTGATTAACATAACATAATAAAAACAAAAAACAAAAAACAAATACCCTGTTTAACTGGTGGTCCCATTTCTGTGCTGGGATTTCCAAACCTATCTGGGTGTTTCTGTTTCTTCCTAACCCACTCTTCCTGTGTCTTCCTTCCCACCGACAACTTTTCCCTCTCAATGAGCAATAATGGCTTTCAAAACTGTTTTGGCCCTCAGACCCATGAACATGACTCCATCCTCACTGGTTTATTTTGTGATCCCTTTTCCCTGGGGGAAAAAACCTCAGCTTCATGTCCTAATTTCATGTTCAAAGGGCTTGATGGAAAAACAAGGAATTGCAGAAAAAGAAAAACAATAGCTCGATTAGTATTTTTTAAAATGCTGCACCACAGTGCCATTTTATTATCAAGGCCACAGAGTCTTTCCTCCTCCAGTTTTGAGGAATACGGTATTCCATTTTCCTCTAGTTTGGCTATGGTTGAAATTTTCTTACTTTGATTTAACTTTTTAATCTGTCTGAATTTTATTCTTGGGTGAGGGGCATATATATATTTTTTTAAGATTTTATTTATTTCTTTGACAGAGAGAGAGAGACAGTGAGAGAGGGAACACAAGCAGTGGGAGTGGGAGAGGGAGAAGCAGGCTTCCCGCTGAGCAGGGAGCCCGATGCGGGGCTCGATCCCAGGACCCTGG